TAATTTATATTTATTTCCTAATTTTTCATGTTGATTACAAGATCGGTCAAATCTACTGAACCCATACACCAATTTTTTAGGGGAAATTTGAAAATTTTCTGATGTATAAAAGTATTTTTAATCTTAAAATGAAAATTACTTTGAAAGTTGGATAGGCAACATGCAAAAAGAAAAAAGGCATGAAAAAACATTGCTTTACAAACCTTAAGACTTAATAAGATTTATAGGGAAGTTTTTGTTCATTAGAACTAAACTTCACCTTAGCCAGTTCTTTGTGTTTATCTCCCTGTACATGTTTCAAACAGTTGTTGCTTGCAACTATTATCTCAATCCAGTATTTTGACAAATACTACAGAAACAGTGAAATTGGTCATTTGGAAATGGCTGACACCAACAGGAAAGCTTATGATCATTATTATCTATATAGATTAACCATTTGGTGGTGGAATCATGTTTTTCTTTGTGGTAGTTTAGTTTTATACATTACCATGAAAATATAAAATGTGTTAACTCTTTCACTGGGCTCAGTCCCAGGGACTGACCTCATAACCATTTTGTGCTTGTTATAGTTTTCATGTTATAACTTTTAATACAGTAAGTGTAGTTACACAAAATTTTGCTGATTACCAGTGAATATTAAAAGGCTTTCTTGTGCAAAGTATCAGAGTTTTAAAATTAAGTTTTAAGATTTTTTAGTAATGTTTTTCTTGTGCATTTTTTCTTTTCGAATGTTGACTATTCAACATGCAAAGTAATTTTGATTTTAAGATCAAAAATACTTTTATGCATCATAGAATTTTGAAATTTCACATTCAAAATCTTAAAAACCTTCAGATAATTATCAAAGGTTTTTTATAAAAAAACTTATATCTCATCTGTTATTTTCACTATTGTATCTCTGTACGGGTTTGGTCGATTTGACCAACCTTGTAACCACCATAACAAAATTAGGAAATAGATATAAATTATGCTTTTTTCATTCTAAAATGACTATAAATTATAACATGAAAACACAAATGTTGATTCTCAGTAGTTAAAATTTCATAAAATTATACATATATATTTATTTATTATTTTTATTTTATTGACCTTACAGCTGTACCTGACAGACATTACAAAAGTTGCAATGATGCAGCAAATGTACAATCATGTTACTGTATCTAAGAACTTAAAACTGGCCTTCTGATATACTACATTAATTCCTGTCAGACAAATAGCTATTCTCATTCAGTGCTGCCCTCTATATGCAAATTTTTTTTTATGCATGCCACAAGCCTTCTGCCTCCCCTCTATTGGAAATGACTCATTCCAACATGTGTCTCACGCGACAACCCTCCACCAATGAGAGTACCATACTCTCTTATTATATATGTGATTCCCTCTATTCCATTCTACCAGACTGTCACTTCAGTGCTTGTGTTGTAACGTTTAATTTGTGTTCTCTTCAATTGTTTTATTTTAATATTTTTCCATATCTTTGTATTCATTTATTTCAACAAGTTTACTCTTTATTATACACTAGTGATATTTGTAACTTTTTGAGTTATTCTGAAGTGTAATTATTTTATATATCTACCTGATTACATAACTTATTTAGTTATTCCAAGGAATTTTTTTGTTTCTACCAACACAGTTGGGTTTGGTTATTCATTTTGCATTATGAATTTTCCATTACCACTTCGGAGGTTATATATTCTGTTAGCACTTTACACAGGCTTTATGTCACAGTACTCCATGGTAAGATTAATCATCCTGTGAACTGACTTTCTTCAGACATCGCCTCATTTTGGAGGGCCCACAATTTTACAATACCGTTTGCCGACTTCGG